TCGCCGCTATTCGACCGTACTTTCCCAAAGTGAGTAATGAGTTTGGCGCAATTTTATTGGTTATTCAGGCGCGCTATGAGCTGTCTTTTTCTCTTCTTCACTCCTTTTTTCGTGCTCTCCTGACAGTTTTGCCGCTTTGTTTCCTGCTCTCTTTTATTCACTTCTCGTCCTGTCACTCTCTTGTCTAGCAGTGTTATTTTCAATACCGTAATAAGCGCGCGTGCGTGTTGCAGAGCTGTCAACTACGGTAGCATAGGCTCAGTGATTGGTCACGAAATAACGCATGGATTTGACGATCAAGGTTCGTTCCAATTGCCTTATATGAGCGGGTTACTGTATCAAACAGTTACTGTGAGGCTGGGTTATTGTATTCTATAGTATCATCCAAGTCCGTGCAAAGCTTAAGAGATCGATCTGAGGCCTGAGTTTTGAGATTGAGATCGTATGAGACGGTTTCATTACGTTGAATTAATGGAGTGATCAGTGGAAATCCATTGGAAAAACTTGTCGGATGCTTCGAAATTTCAGGGAGTCAATTCGATAAAGATGGTAATTTGCTCGATTGGTGGGATCAAGCAACGAAGGAACAGTTTAACAAACGTACCGGATGTATCGTTGAGCAATACAGCAAATTTTCTCTGCCCGGTACTGATGTACACGTCAACGGACTTTTAACGCAAGGCGAAAATATTGCTGACAATGGCGGCGTTAAAGAGGCGTATAAGGTGGCGCTATTTCCCATCCAAAATGGAGTATTTAAAACAGAGCGAATTTTGACTTACTGTTTTAGGATTGTTACGGAATTGTGACAAAATGATAATAGTTGTGATCGATTGTGGTGAGAATGCGATGAACTGAAGTTAATGTGCTTGAGCCATTCTAGGCCTATAAGAATCGTGTGAAAAAATCGAGAAAGGACGAGAAAAGACTACCAGGCTTGGAGAAATACACCAACGATCAGATATTCTTTATGAGTTTCGCACAGGTGAGTGTGTTGACTACTGAAAATACTTCGATTGCAAACGTTTCAATACATCACCGAATTGCTCCCTCTCAAAGTTGACAGAGGAAGAAGTTAAGTGAAGATGTGGCTTACAGCTTCAGTCAAAACCACGCTGAACAGTCCAAGTGAACAAAGCCCAAGCTCAAATCATCGGTTGCAGAACCTAAGCCGAATCCTGAACTGAGTCTCAAATCCCAACCAGTCAAGGTTTGACCCGTTCATAGGGCAATCCGNTTTAGCCTCATTTTACGCCATCCCGCTGGCTAGGCGAGCAGGCCAACCGAACGAACACAACCGAGTAATTAATTAGTCGCCGTGAATACTTAGCATAATTAAACACAGTCAAATACCAATTCAATGAATAATCATTACTCTAATAAAATAAATATTCCACCGATCGCTCACTGCCATTGACGAAACAACCACTCGATGTCCAAGTAATAATTAATCCGATGTTACTGGCCATAAACACGATAGAATGTGAATTGAATTGAAAAAAATCACAATATATAGAGCAAATATCTTAGCAACAAATGTGACAGTGCCGTAGAGATGAGTGTTCTATCAGTTAAAATTCGCATTTTCAGTCGTGGTGTGGCAAATCAAAACCGGCGGCCGCAAGAGAACTGATTCTAACGGATCCACATTCTCCGCCACAATTCCGAGTGGAGGGTGCTGCGGTGAATCAACCCGAATTTGCTGAAGCTTTCCAGTGCGCATCAGGCACTGCAATGAATCCGGTCACCAAGTGCGATGTGTGGTAATCGATGACCGATGAAGATGATGTTGAAGATCAACCGAAAAACAAAAAGCAAAACAAAAAAACACACAAACTCAAATTTTCGATGAAAGAAACTTGTCAGTATCGAATCCTTTCTAATCGCATTCCTTGATGATCCA